CTCCTTGTAGGACATGCCGCCTCAGATCAAGAGAGTAAAAGACAGAGAAGGAACAGCTAGAGAGAGGGAGGGAAGGATGAATAAGGTAAAGGGAGAGAGACAGACAGACATGCACAGAGAGAGAGAGAGAGAGAGAGAGATTGGTGTGAGAGAATCGAACCTGTGACCTGCAGCTGAGACAAGATCTGAGCATTGCACTCTGACTAATCCTCCAATGCCACCACCACACCAACTGACCTTCGGCCTCAAAGCGATTTGCACGCTCTCGCGTTCTCCTCTTGCCGCTAGCAGGTTGACCTGTACCCATCGAACCATCATTCAGTGCATGGCTTCCTTCCATCTACACGCTGGCAAAGAAAAATGGGTTAAGAAGACAGAACTCCTACATCGAAGATGCCAATACATTGTTGCGTGCGCAGAAATTACTTCGTTCGTTTGATGAACTCGTGATCAAATTTTCAAAATTCCACTGTCTGATCAATTTTTTCGAACTGCAGCTTCTACTCAAGAGCGTTCATTTGGAAAAAAAAGGGAAGAAAAGAAGAAGAAGAAGAAGAAGAAGATATAAACATATCAGGTCATATCCCCGTATACATATATAACTGCAGGCAATCTGTGAACAGAGTCCATGAAGCCTGCGACAGCAAAGCACAGGATCCAACTGGAGGCGGCGGGGGCAGGTCATTTCCCGCCAGTGTCAATCAATCACGAAGATCGCTCCCCCACCCATGCCACACAATGCCCACCAGACCAATCTAGATAGATACAGCTCAAGGAAAAGGAGGAGGGAGGAAAGCGAGGGCAGCGAGGAGAGAGAGGAGAGCGAGGAGAGCGAGGAAAGCGAGGAGGACAACGAGAGGGAGGAGAGCAAGGAGGACAACGAGAGGGAGGAGAGCGAGGAGGACAACGAGAGGGAGGAGAGCGAGGAGGACAACGAGAGGGAGAAGAGGGAGGAGGCGGAGGAAGAGGCAGAGGACGAGGACGAGGAATATCTCCCCTGGCAAACAAAGAAATGAAACGGGGGGGGGGCCAGGGAATAGAAAACATGTGATCGGATGTACACACCTTCTCAAGTGGGCGAGGAGGTTCCTGATGGCCCACGTTTGCGGTGTTGGGCATTGGCCAGACCGAGAGCAGTGCAGCTGTTGCTCGAGTCCTAGCATCGATATGTCGACCGATACACTCATCTTGTCGATATCCAAATTCACTCCAGCCATATCCAGTCCCTCCTCCTCTGACACCATTGACAGGCGGGTGCCCTGCTGCCACTTCTGCTTGGGTGTTCTCCATCTTGGCAGGAATGACAGCTCCCTTTCTTGGCGGGAATGACAGCTCCGTTTCTTGGCGGGAATGAGAGCTCCCTTTCTTGGCGGGGATGACAGCTCCCTTTCTAGAAGACGGGAATGACAGCTCCCTTTCTTGGCGGGAATGACAGATCCCTTTCTTGGCGGGAGTGACTGCTGCTCCCCTTTGGCTCTCAACGTTTCGCCAGCGACACCTAAATGAATGATGAATGCGATAAACCCCACCGAAAGACGAATTAGAATCATTGAAACAAAGACCCGCAGCCAACAAAGCCATAAAGAGAAGGGCGTGGGTTGGGAGAAGAAGTACCCCAGAGATAGCCAAAGACTGCAAAGAGTGAGTACAAAGCAGGCAAACAGTACAAGGGCAAAATAAATAGGCAAACAAAGAACCCGCTGCCATAAAGAGCGAAGGGAGAGGAAGGGGGGGGGGGGGGGGGGGGGGGGGTGGAGGCGGGAGGCAGCTCAGAGACAGCCAAAGAGTGACTGCATAGCAGGCGAACAGTGGAAGGGCGAAATAAATAGGCAAATAGGTACAAAGGTGAGAGAAATTGACAAACAGCACAAGGGTGGGGGGCTTCAGAAGGGAAACAGTACAAGGAGGGGTGGGTGGCTTAAATGGGCAAACAGTAAAAGGGGGTGACGTTTTGATGGGCATACAGTAAAAGGGTGACAATTGGATAGGCAAACAGTGCAAAAGGCGGCATAGGGCATCGCTCCACGACTCACCAAATGTGGAAAATGAGAATGAATCTTCCTCTAGAACATGGAAAAATACAGGGCCATATTTTTTGTCTTTTGTGCATGGCAAAAGTACTGGAGCGAGGCCCATAACCAGGCAAACAATACAAGGCCAACACTCCAAAGGTTCCATAACTAGGCAAACAAAAAATAAAGGGGGGAGGCTCAAATAGGCAAACAGTACAAGGGTGACATCACTAGCCAACACAGTGAAAAGGTGTGGTGTGACATGAATTGGCAAACAGTGGAAGGGGATGACATTAAAGCCCCAGTACACTACGCATGGGCCTCCTTTCACGTCAGCATGAAAAAAAAAGCACCACTTCGGAGGCCGCCGATTTTCTTTTTTAACGGCGCCCCACGACGCCGCGTGGCCCCTCCAACTTTTGCTTGTCGCGACAAAAACTTTCCCCAAGGCTGGGGCCGTGTACTTGCGCGGCTTAGGGTCTCGCCGCACGGCACACGAAACGAGTGCATGCGCCCACCAAGGTGGCAAAATACACTCGTTACTATTTATAGCAAACCGATGAACCCGGCCATTTTGCGGGGGGAAGATACATTTGTTTCGTTTTTCGTTTCGTGTGCCGTGCGGCAATGCCCTTAGTAGGCAAACAGTAGGAAGGTGAAGGGGGGGGGGGGGAAACATACAAAAGACAAAAATAGGCAAACAATACAAAGGGGAGACATTGCCAGGAAACAGTAAAAGGGTGCGCAGGCCCTATGTTCCTATTTATGGCACCCTTGTATGGCACCCTTGTACTGTTTGCCTATCAGAACGGTGCGCAGGCCCTATGTTCAGAGCGATTTATAGCACCCTTGTACTGTTTGCCTATCAGAACGAACGGTGAAGATGCTGACGGTAAGCAAACAATAAAAAGGGGTGGCATTGCCAGGAAACAGTAAAAGGGTGCATGTAACAGACGCACAGACAGAGAGCACAAGGGTAACATAATTAGGCAAACAGTACAAGGGTGCGATACATAGGAACAAAGGCACAGCGGGCTAGCTCAGTTGGTTTGGCAGGCAAGTGACATTCAGGAGGGCGTGGGTTCAATCCCCTACCGCCGCCTGCGGCATGCTTGCTGTTCAGCAGCTGAGATAGTTGGCTTGCCCCCTCATGGTCGGCCTCGGTGGGGTCCTGGGTTCTCCCAGAGGGCCAGCTTCTCCTCTGGCATTCCTCGCTGGGATTAGCTCCTCTACTACAGCCTTCACCGGAATATAATGCCTGATCATTATAGCTGTATTTGGGGCATTTTTCAGTCCAGATGCAGCGATAATGAGCAGGTGTTCTATTCGGGCGAGGAGGGTAGTTCTAGTGGATCTTGGTTGTCCTGCAACATGGGTTGCTGTGCTTAGACATGTAGGTAGGTAACATGAAGTACAATTTGGGGGGAAAAAAAGAAAAAAACTTAAAAATAGCTAAACAATACAGGTGTAAATTACATAATAATAGAAATAACCAAACAGTACACGGGTAAGTTACATTACATACATACATACATACATACATACATAAATAGCACAAACAAATAGACAAATTGTGTTTGCCTATTGATCTTAGGTTAACTCAGCCCCCAGACTGTTTGGCTATCTATGTCGCCCTTCTACTGTTTGCCCTATTTATCCCACCCTTGATAATGACGGTTACCCCATTCAAGCTTCAGGGCAGGCAGCAGGCGCATAAATTTACCCAATCCTCTCACGTAGGCAGATAATGACAATAGCTCACAAATATCCTAACATGTAGGCAGGTAGTGACAATCAGACCAGTTACCAAAGGCGCGAAGCACGATTCCGAGGTGTGAATTTGATATAACAAGCACTGGCTCCCAGTGCAACCTCATAAAAAGCTATGAAACACAGACCTGAAGAAATTGAAACACAAGTGGTTGTTACCAAGGCAGCCCCTCGTGAACCAAGAAAGAGACCAAACTACTAAACTACCGAGTAGAGGGAAGACTACAATAAGTAAATACATATTTCAAATCTTTTTTTTTGATTGACGATCGTGATAGTTGATTCCATAAAAACACCATAAAATATCTTTTTCTTTTTGAGTCCCGTAATTGCAATGAGAACAGTCATAAACAAACTCGACTATAAATAGACACCGAGGATTGTGACGATATATATTGTCACACTGTGATATATATAAATAGACAAACACTAACCAACGTTCATCTGCCGTGATCGTCAAATCAAAAGCCATTTCCTTTTTTTTTTCTTTTTTTTTTCGGTTTTACAACTTTACTCATCAATCAAGTTCCATCATCATCTGGTTTCGAACACAGGTCTGTGTTTTCAACAGTTCAATGGTGTACCCACTGAGCTAGGCTCTTGGGTTCAAAAGCCATTTCCAATCAGAGGCCAGAACAACAAACACATCACACTCGACGGATGGACGACGGATAATGCGTCACAAAGATTCACAAAGATTCACAAATATTCAAAAAGATTCAAAAAGATTCACAAATATTCAAAAGGATTGAAAAGGATTAAAAAGGATTTGAAAAAAGATATTTTCAAAAGATTAGAAAAAGGTTAAAAAACAGATAAGAAGAAGAGTCAGAAAGGATCAAAGCACACCGGAATTCCCAAAAAAAAAAAAAAAAAAAAAAAAAAGCACACCGCAATGGACGGATGATTCTTCCATGAAACATCATCAGCACAATCATTGCGACAGAATCAAAGAAAAAAAGAACCGACCTTTGCAGCAGAATCACTCCTCTACCCTTCTTCCCCCCAATACAACGCACGGTCATTATAGAAGAGCTGTATTTGGGGCATCTTCCACTCTGAACACAGCTATAACGACCGTCTAGATACAGCTATAAAGACCGTATGTTGTATTCGGGGGAAGAAGGGTAAAGTAGTGAGAGAAGAGTGACAGCCACGAGCCAAAGGGCCTCGCGCTCCACTACTGAACAAATGTGCGAGATGAGAATGAATCTTCCGCTAGAACAGGGAAAGATACATGGAAAGATACACCGCCATTTATTTTGTCGTTTGTGCAGCTGATGACTGGTGTAGCGTGGCCCAGAGAAAAGAGGGATGAAATGCTATGATGCCATCCCATGAATCCCCCCATACATTCCCTCCCTCCACAAAGTCACAACTTCAACCAGGAAAAGGCCAGGTTCATCGGTTTGCTATAAATAGAAACGAATGTAGTTTGCCGTGCAACACAGAGGAAATGAGAAAGGAAGACTAAAAGGAGAGGAGGACAGAGAAATACTGGTCCAGAGAGAGGGGTGGGGGGGGAAGTTAGGGAAAAGGAAGGGGGGACAAGGGGTGAAGAGGAACTGGGAAAAGACAAATACACGATCGTTTATCGTCGTCAATCCGACTTTTCTAATCCCTTTGAATCCTTTTTCAAACTCTTCGAATCTTTCTTAATCTTGTTTGATTCTTTTTCAACCCTTTTCGAATCTTCTCTTTTTAATCTATCTAAAATCTTCTTGAATCTCTTCTTCGTATCGTTGTCTTTCTTAATCTTCTCGACTCTCAATCTATAACAGTGAGCTCTTTCTGAATCACAAATGTATTTCGGTCAGCAGGTTTCAGTTCATCTGTGAACTGGACGACTGGCAGAGATTCCTTTCTCTCTCTCTCTCTCTCTCTCTCTCTCTCTCTCTCTCTCTCTCTCTCTC